AGCCTGTTGTTTAGCACTATTTAAATGATAACGGTTTCTTTGCATTGGACCTGTAAAGTTGATTGGTTGTGTCACAAGTCAACGGTGACATCTCTACAACTGTTTCAAAGTTATACCGCTGCTGTGCATCATACTCACTGCAGTGTTCTCAGTGCTAGCAAAGGAGTGGAAGTCAAAATGAAGTTTTCTCAAGAAAGTTTTATCTTTTTAAAAATTGTGCAGGATTCACTCACGTCTTCAACCGAACCACGTCGGCCACGCTACCCGCACAGGGTTACAAAAATCGAGAGGTGCACGACCAGCCTAAGCAACAGTGAAGCATGGCTTTCAAAATGAGGACAAAACATACCATGATGGCTGAGTTCATCTTTTACATACAGTCTATGCTTTTTAAATGCAAACGGGTTTCATGTTTAATTGTTGGAGCTTCATGGTATTGAATTCTCTATATGATAATCATTTATGTTTTCAGAGTTATTTGTGTGGCTTCAGTGCAACATTTTATAACCACATGCTCATTTCGTGGGAGCATGCATGTTAATAAATCACAGGTAGACTGAAGGAAGGCATGAAAATAAGAAGATATGGTGTGATTCAGCTGCAGGAGGTGGGAGATGGCCTTTGGAGTTTGTTTTGCACAGCATTTTGATCAATTATTTAGGATGTCATGTGTCAAAGCCCATAGTAGCCTAACAGCGTTCACCAGCATTATGGGCAGATAATAGCCCCAACGTGTCAATCGAGGATGGAAGCAGATAAGATGTGAAAGGTGATCTATGCGGTGACTAATGATAGAACATTGATCAAACACACTACTCTCTGTCGAAGAAATGAGACCCCCGTGCTGCAGCGTTGACGTCTCAAACGGGAGCTCTGCCCAGCTGCAGGATGATATTCATATTCCGGAGGTATATGTGCAGGACAAACATGCACTGATGCAAACACGCTTTAGTCACAGCAGACAAACAGAGGCAGCTCCAAGCTGTAGCATCATGTCATGCAGAGACGTGGAGCCACCTCCATTTTCAAGCTCTGCTCTTTTTTTTTTTTTTTTTTTACCTTTTGGGAGGTGAAAGATTGCGTCCAGTGGTACAAAACGAGCCTGTCTTTGTTGAAGGGTTTGGGCTCTGCCGCCGGTTCTTCGCACTCCTCCCCGTCTGTGATTTTGCCGTCTTCGTCCATGGCTGAGATGGGCCACCAGCCACAGTTGGTAGGGGTAACATGGTTGGAAGACGCCATGACAGAGCGTTTTGTGCGTGTGGAGGAGAGGAGAGAGGAGGGAGAGGATGGAGAGAGAGAGTGTGTGAAAGGGAAAGAGAGCGAGCAAGCGAACAAGAGAGAGAGAGAGAGAGCTCAGCGGCTCGAGCGCAGCAGCATCACCGGTTCACGCGGCAGCAGCAGCGACAGCATCCGTCAGTTTGGGACAGCTCCGCGCTTCCCAGGGAAAAACACGCACACCCTAATCCATATGCAAATACCGACTTACTCGAGCATGCCGCTGCACTTGCAATTAAATCGACGGGTAACCGTATTACATCACATGATGCGTTACGCACAAACATGCGCCGTGGAAACCCCTCGCAGGGAGCGCTTCAGTGGAAGGTCAGTCGGCTCCTGTAAGGACAATGGAGGCTGTTGGCCACGGTAGACACGCAAATTTTCATAGTGTGGAGCGTAGTCTGCCTATAAGAGCAGCTCATTAAATAATCAGAGGACTTCAAGTGCTTTTCTTTCCGTTACCGGGAAACTATTTGGACTAGGCCATGGTGTCAAACTCACTTTAGTCCGTGGGTGACGTGCAGCTCAGTCTCGAGCCACACCAGTAAACCGATTACATAATAACTTTTAATATTCCGAACTCCTGATTTACTCTCTTAAAAAGGTACGTAGGGCGTAATTCCCCGTGACCCTAAAATCGTTTAAAGTCTTCGGAAATTAACTGAGATATCGACAAAATGTGAAGAAACAATGGACGTAACACAATAGCCAAAGCATTTGTTTTACTTTGGAAAAAAAAAACAACAAAAAAAACATTACCAACTGAAGTAGAAGTAGAGCCGTGCTGCACTTTCATGTAATACCAATTTACACCACAAGATGACGCACTGGGACAATCAATCCCCCCAATCAGTCAAGACATTAAAAATACTTTATTTACAGTTGCTAAGTAAACTGAGGTAAAGCTAAAATCAAATGCCCAGATAAAAACAACATACATCCCAAAATATTTCAACACACCCCACTGGACACTGGTGAGGACAGTTTTTGTTAAAATATACAGCGAGCATTTAGAAAAAGTAATGTAGAAGTTCACAGTAAATACTTTGACCAGATCCTAATTTTATTTTATTTTATTTTTTTATCTAAAACCATCTGTCCAAGAAGATAAAACTTACAACAAACTTACAACAACAGAAGTTATTAATTCTTGTTATTTTTCTCACTTAATGGGTGATTCATCTTTTACATAAAATAAGTCATGCTCCAAAAATATTTCCAAATTGTTTTTTCCCACATTTGTGAGTCAGATCAAAGTGAAAAAGCACAAAAAACTTCACACGCAGATGGTTTTGTAATTAAACATACCAGTGTTATTTCTTTATGAAACAATGTGTCTATAGATCTAGAAACACTTCAATTTCCATCCATTTTGTCTCCTGTGGAATAAAACTGGCCTCGACACACCAAGAATAGAAATGCATTTTATGGAAACAGAATGAAGTAATTAGGCAGCATAGTGGTTCGCACTGTCACTTCATAATAAGAAGATCCTGGGTTTGAACCCACTGGTTCCCTGAGGCCTTTCTGTGTGCATTTTGCATGTTTTTCCTGTTCCTGTGTGGGTTCTATGTGGGTGATAGTGGAATGAATAGTGGAATTGTACAGTGCTTTGAGGGCCCCGAAAAGCGCTATATAAATGCAATCCATTATTATTATTATTTGTGAACTATGCTTAAAAGCCAGGCCTGTGCCAGGAAACCAACCAATTTAAATGAGCTCCATCAATTGTGCCACGAAGAGTGGTGAAATATCCAGTCAGAATTATTCCAGACGCTTGTTGATGGCTACCAAAGCATGTAGCTGAGGTGCAGTTTCTTAAGGCAGGGATGTCAAACTCATTTTACATCGAGGGCCACATACAGCTCACGTATATATCAGGGGTTTTTTACCACCACCACCCCCCACATACAGAGCGGTGAAACTCCACTTTCTGTCAGTGTAAAGATGTTTAACTCATCTACGAGTCTTAAGATAAGAATAAATAAAGAAATGATAAAGAAATGCTGCTGTAGTAAATGATTGAACTGTCAGCAGGACTTCATTTAAAAAAAAAAAAGGAGAATGTTTATGTGTTACTTTATTACTGTAGTGTAGTATAAATGGTAGAAAACAGTAGTAAAACTAAAACATAGCAACTAAGAGTTAAAAGTTTTTCCTCTAAAGTTATCCAGTCAGCTGGACTGGAGTCTTTGCTGGGCCAATTCTGGCCCCCAGGCCTTGTGTTTGACCCCTGTTCTAAAGGACATTTAAGGATCAGTGGGTGTGCATGTATACTTTTGATCCTGTGTGAATTATAGAAAGTCTCAAATCCACACTTTTCCACCTAATTTTAAAGTCATAAAAGTATGCTGTACGATGATTCCAACCTGGAAAAAGAAGAGTTCAAATTAAAAGCCCAAACTAACCATGACGTCCATGAGTGGATGTAAACGTTTGACCACAACTAATTGAAACTAATCCCAACCCTGGAAATAAATACATAATTTCTTTGCTTTTTTACTTAATTAGCATTAAGATTAGAAATATATTATTGGTTTTACAAAAATATATGTTAGAAATCCTGCAGCACAGTAAACTATATTCATCTTTTTAGTAATATCCAATAACAGGTGACTTCTGTTTATGTGCAGAAGTCTACCTTAAGTCAGTGTGCTGATTTTTAAAAATGCTATTCAGTGTTTATTTCAGTGTTAGACACAACAAATAGAATAATTTGCAAAGCAACAAACACTTTCCTGTATGATGTTATAGTATGTATTTATTTATTTTAAAGAGCATCATTTTTTCAGACTTATTTATGCTACTCTGAACTGAATATGTGCTCTACCAAACTGACTGCATATGCAATAAATGCAACAGCGCACTATAAAGGCCAGTTCTCTGCAAAAATTCTAATAAAAGTTGAGAACTTTTGAAAATGTTTTTATTAATTAGGTGCAAACAAACTGGAGTAACCATGTAAAATAAGGTGAACGATTGAGTGTAATCTCCAAAACAGCAGCTCTCATTGGCAGCCTAGCACATAGTTTGGGCTGGTTGTTCCATATCCTGGGGACATGGCTTGTACTTTAGCAATAGTGAGTGGTTGTACGACTGACCAAAAAAAAAAAGGGGGTGGGAAGCTATAGAAATGCCAGCCCAGTCCAGAATTTACCAGAGATTTAGTCTGTCTCAGTCTCTGCTGGTTTCCTGTATAATCCCAGACAGACTCCAGGAAGCCAGAATCAGGGCTCTGCAGGGGTCTTACCATCTGTTCACAGGACTCCTTGTTCTTTTCATGACCTGTTTGTTGTAGCTCAGATGCCTTTCTAAATGCACCCTGTGAGGACTGAAGAGTTATGCACATTTCAATATAGTTTAATTTTTGTCTGACAAAGTCTAAGCAATCCTGTCCCTAAACCTATTTTATTAGCTTGAGACTCTACAGTTTAAACATGTGTAACTAAACGTGTTTTTAAAGAATAAACGGGGAGGCTTGGGTCTTTGGTTTGACTCCTTAGAAAAAATATTCCACATATGATTCCTCCTCTAGGCCTTTCACGTGGGTTTATTTCAGTAATTATTCAAGACTGAGGGAAACAACTGGTAAATGATTGAGCCTGTAGCTGAGACAATGAGCTGCTAAAGAAGTCTGCTCAGATTCTTTCTAACTTGCTACCTCAAATAATAGAAGTTAACATTTTTCAGATACAAAAAGAGTAGATGTTCTTACCAAGACTTGAAAGCAGTTTTAAGCAGTAAATTTGGGTAACAATAATTTCCTAAAAATCACAGATTCATGTTCTGACCTTTGGAAGCAACAAAAACAGACCCCACTGCTCAATTTTGGATTCATTAGACTAGTAACAAAAAACACAACCAAAAAAACCAAAACACTAGTTTAAAATGGCAATCGATTAATATCAAGGTCAAGCTATCAAAAGCTTAACATTGTATGTTAGACAGACATTTTTCTACCTTTTTTATCTTAAGCAAAGGAGTATAAGTGCAAACCATTTCCTTGTAATAGGATATTTAACATGAATGCTCAAACATTGTTACTCAATTAAAATAGCTGAGTACATATTCCTCTTCTACAAAACCCGTTGGTTCAATTGATTTAGGGTATTTTAAGCCCAGTGTTCTTAGGTCAGTCTGCAAGACAATCTGCACCTCTATAACTTTTTGTCCGGCGCCATAAGCAAGGAATTCAGTCTGCAGATTTCCTTCATTACGTAATATGATACAGCAGAATGAGAACAAGGGAGCATGGTCCCTTCAGACTGAACCGTTCTGTTTTAGTAATCAAAGCTGACTAAAGCTAAATACTGACAGATGCAGCTGATCAAGAAATGTCATCTCACTAATGTTTCAGAAATATAAATCAGTGATAAACGGACTCAGATTTAGACGAATTTTTGCTACAAAGGGACAAGTTACAAACACAGCATACTTCCTTGTGCAGCCCTCACTCGTAGGCTGGCTCCTGAAATTGGCACAGAGTCATCCCAAGTTTGACAACTCAAGTTTTCAAGCAAAATACGTTGTTGTTACCAAAACGCTCCAGCAGAGGGCTGAAGAGAGATACATAACTGATGCAGATCTGATGTCTCATTGGAAGGGGCATAAGTGTGAGTGTTTATGTTGGATTTGTTTTTCTCCTGTTGTTACGTTGGCTCAGATTTTGGACCCCCCAAAAAAAAAAATTAAGAAAAAGAATTCATGGTTGTTCACAAAGTCATACATAAAGTCTGGGAGTTAAAGCAAGAATCCCTTGATGGCCACTTTGTTAGGCACACCTGTTTAACTGCTTTTTACTCCAAATAAATAATCAGCCAACCACAAGACTGCATTTACACTCAATGCATATACAAATATAGACATGGCCAAGACAACCTGCTGAAGTCCAAATTCAACATCAGGATGGGCAAGGTGGTTTCAGTGACTTTGGATATGGCGTAGCTGCTGGTGCTGGTTTAAGCATTTAAGTATTTAAGTGTTTAATTATTTAAGAACCTGCTGGGATTTTACCAAACAGTGCTCCCTTGGGTTTGCAGAAAACAGTTTGAAAAAGATAAAATATCCAGTGAGCACCAATCCTCTGTGTGAAAATGCCTTATTGATGCCAGAGATCGGCATCAATAAGGCATCCTTTGAGCTAATAGGAAGGTACCAGTAACTCAAATAACAACTCGTTATATACAGAAGAGAATCTCTGATGTACAACATATCAAACCTTGAAGGAGATAGGCTAT